CCAAGGAATTGGAATTGATCTGGATTAAGGGACAGGTAGGTGAATAAAGAACTACTTGCGTGGTATGAGTCAGAAGGTGATGCTTAAGGGTTCATAGTGTGTGTGGAGTCCCACAGGGTCCCTATAGGGACTTGTCTTTATTGGTAACTGGAGCAGACAATGTGGTGCACTCTCATCTTGTTTACAGGCGACACCACACTGTGGGGAATGACCAGGTGATACGTTTGAGGGAAGGGTTGGTAGTCAGGGGTTCCTAGAAAGCAGGGAGAATGGTCTTCTGTGAACCTGAAGATATTCAGCAGGGAGAAATGCCAAGTCTTGCACCTGGAAGGAAGAGCCCTTGGCAGGGATACCGGCTGATGACAAAGGGGCTTGTGGGAGCAGCTCTGCAAGAAAGGCCCTGGGTCTGCTGGCAGATAGCAACTCCCTGGCAACATAGTTGGCCAACAGCATTCTGGACTGTATCACCAGGCGTGTAGCCAGTAGATCCTGGCAAGTGATTATCCGCCCTGAGTATCCAGCAGTATTGCATCACACCTAGGCAGTGCATCCAGTTTTAGGCCCCTGATACAAAAAAGTTGCTGATATATTGGAGCAAGTTCAGCAGTGGACACCATTATGGGCACCTGCCCTTCTTGGAGAGGCTGTGGGAATTGAGCATGTTCAGCTTGGAGGTAGACTCCCAGTGCCAGTGGAGAGGTGATAGAGAAGGTTGAGTTGGACTGTTTTCAGTGACTAAATTGAAATAGGACTGATTTTCACTGTGATTGGGTTGCTGGAGAGGCTGTGTGGTCTGTCCTCGAAGGTCTTCAAGACCCAGCTTAATAAAATTATGAGTAACCTGGGCTGACCTCACAGCTGAGCCTACTTTGAGGAGGTGTTTCTACTAGAGACCTCCTGAGGCAGCTCCTAGTCTGAATTTCTGTTTCCACGTTTCTATGATCTAGCCAAGCTCTAGCTGAAAATAATGCTATCAGCGGTTTGGTGGCAATGGAGGGGAAAATTTCTTCTTCCATTTGAATCTGAAGATTTACTTCTCTCTGAAGAAAGCTTTCAGTGTTTAATATTTCTTACTTTCTGGTGCAGAAGACAAAGGGAAGCATAATGGTGGGTTATTTTGACTTAATAACTTATCCTTAACAGTATTAGAGGAATTTAACTTGTTTGCTAGCTAATGGTTAACTGTAGAGTGGTTTGAGTTGCATTTAAAATATTGTTATCTTTTAATTGTTTTTGTTTGATTTTTTTAAATTTTAAAATCTGTTTTACACTAAATTTGACTCTTGTGTTTCTAGAGACTTGCCCTCCGTTTATTTATTTTAGTTGTAAAAACAAGGAGTTCTTCCTAGTGGCAAGCTTGAGTCATCACATTACTTAACTATAAGCAAAGATACTGTATACAAAGTTTAGGTGGCATGGACAGTTGCCTCTTCACATTCACTCACACCACCATTTTTGAACAATGAATCCACAAACTAAATGGAAGAGGAAAACAAGAGTTCATAATGTTTTTAAAGTGGTGATGCATATGTAAAATGTGTGAGGATTAGTTTCTTCTCAGTATCCATTGCTTGATTGAGTCTGTGAAGTCTTAGATCAGAGGGAAAAAGGGGAAGGGTAAGTCTGCAGCTCTGCCACTGAAAGTATCACCAGATCACTCTGGTTTTCAGGATCAAAGTAAGTATTTACTATTGCTGATTAGAAATCCCATGTATAATAAATAGACCTAAAGGTTTGAAAGCTCACTGGACATGCTTCCTTTTGCTCTACAGGATGTTTTCTTTAAATAATAATTCTAGTAAACCAGGAAAAGTACTGCAGAACAGCATTAACTTGAACTTTGCCCAAGGCCTGAGGGGGATTATGTCATTTTCAAAAACTGATTATACTATTTGTAGTCATAAGTAAGACTTTCAAAACATTTTGAGCTGAGCAATTTCAAATGGAGTTTTGTTTTCTCACTCGTCTTGGAACAATGAGGCCTGTGTATGTCATCGCCATATTGTTCCATTACAATATTTGCTAGCTCACAGCCATTGCTGTATTTCCTTTCCTGAGTTCTGAAGATGTGCTTTTGTTTAGTAGCACATTATGCAAATGTGCATAGTTCCTGTAGGTACCTTCTATTTCACTCCTTTTGACAGGAGTAATCTCTCCCTGGGTGGCAAAAGAATTCTCACATGCTGCAAATCTGAGTCAAAAAGGTGAAGGGATCTCTAAAACTACTGGCAGTTCGTAATCACTTTTCTTTTAATAGGTGTTAGAGCCTGATTTATACAAAAACCTGGTTCAAAAGCAGTTATCTAAAGGTTTGTTGAGATTTAGAATTCTTTTTATTGACATCAAGCAAATTGGTTTTGCATTTTCCATCAAGCAGGTTTAGTTTTCTCACTTCTTTTTTTTCTGTCCAGTGTTTCCTTCCCTGGTACACGTTTGTGTTACTGCTCAGGCAACTATTAGTTGTTTGACTAAATGCTAATCCCACTGTTAGCATTATTTTTATATTATAATGCCTAAAAAAATAATTGTAAAAGAATCCTGGTGATAAATTATATTGTATTAAGAGTAAAACTGTTCTGTGACTGGTCATGGTTCTACTTACTACTGAACTTGTCACATCACCATGAGTAAAAAAAGTGTTTTATTTCTAAAACTGCAACAGAAAAGTTACAGTGTTTCATGTTTAGAGTGATTTAGCATGTGTATGTGAAGGACGATTACGTTCAGGCTCTAGGATCAACACTTTTTTGTTTTATGTAAGACTCGTAGCATAGATATATGACTAAAGTTGGTTTTGGTTTTTTTTAAAGTATTTTTTAATTCAAATTATTATTCTGAAGGAGCTATTAAGATGCTTGAGCATAGGTGTCTAAAGCCATTTTAAGCTCAAATATAATCTCTGGCTCCCTGCAGCCACATAATCCTGTGTTCTGTATAATATGAATATGTCAACATAAAAGGGTCCCAGACACCTGGTTTTTGATGCCTAAATTGCTTTCTAATGAACTGCTTTTTGTCAGCTGTTTTCAGATCATTATAACACAAGATTGCCTTGCTTTGATACTTTTCAACTGAGAATTTTGGACTTGTGTAATACTACAAGCAGTACATTGATTTAAAAAAAAAAAAAAAAAAAAAAAAAAAAAAAAAAAGAAACAATTAAGCAACCCCTGGCATGTCTTCATATTTTAAGGAGAAATATTAATGCTTGAACTTTGAAATACAAATGTAGCTTTTAATGTTCATTTATTGTAATAAATAGTAGTAGCTATTAATTGCTTAGAACAAACCTTTTAGCGTTAATTCCTCTTTTTTGTCTTTAATTACTTGTTGAATTAGAAAAAATGCTTTCTCTTTGCATAGGCTGGTGGTGGTTTGGTTTTATTTTTGTTTGGTAGGTTTGTTTGGTTGTGTTTTTTTCTTTACTGTTAGTATTATAGATGCCAGAATAATTCTGAACTGAGTTGTGGTTTGTCTTGAGCCTGGCTGTTAGGTGAGACTGGGGGGAGTCTTGTTTTCATTTTTATTTTTTTCATTCTGTCTCCCCAAAAAACATGGCAAAACAAGGAAAATTACTGGCATAGTATACAGCAAGATAAGGCTTAAATAGGATGGAATTGGGTTTGAAGGCATTGGTTATATCAGAGTGCATTGTTTTATCGCCTTTATGGAAAGAATGGCTAGAAATGGAATGAGCTACACACAAGCATGATTAAAATAAAATAATAAAGTTATGGATTTGGAGAGAACTGCGGTTGCCATGAGGATGCAGGCAGGCTTCATATTTTGAGATAGTGTCTGTAGGTTCTAAAAATGGTTATTGTTGGAGAGTGAATGAAGTGATCTGTTACAGGCAGTTACATGAAATACTACCTAAAGCTTAAGTTTCTTTGTTCAGTTTCTGAGACATGTTTTATAAAGTACACTTAGTTTTGCAGCTGGTAGATCATTTAGCACAGAAAATTTCCAAATCTTGAGAGATTTTTGAAGTGTCTGTATTTTTGCATATAGTATTCAGTGAGACTTTTTGGGGAAGCTAGATGAAGTATAGATTCAACTTCTGCGTGTCCCAAGAATCCACTAGGAAGGCAGATTTCAGCCATGAAGATCGCAGAGTAGCCATTTTGGAGAGTCTGTCATCATATGATATGGTCACAACCACTGTGAATGTTGCTCTTTAACTCAGTATGTGATGCTTTCTAGTATCTTCTTTTATTTCTTCCTTTATATTCCCAGTTTACAGTTGATTTAAATCTTTAAAAGGTAATTATTTGCTTGATTTTATCATATGAGGTAATACCAGAGAATTTCAGATTGGAATAACTATGAAAGATAGTTTTCAACTGAAAGCACCCTTAATAAAACCCCCTATACATCTTATGACTTGCTGTTATAGGTTCTGTCTTGTAGATTAAGTAGTGCTGTCTTGCTCAACATAAGAAATAATTTTAAATCTTACTGAGGTATGAAAATAAACTGTGTTACTGTCAAGCAATAATGTAATGTAATACAGCAAGCATAATGGAAGGCAGTAGGCTTTTCCAGTTTTCTTACCCTCTGATTTTGCAGTCTTAAACTGCAATGGTGTTTTAGTAAGTTTCTGTTTGTAGAAAGTGTGCTTTTCTGCAGGACGTCTGTAAAAGTTTTAGTAATACCAATATCAGCAATGTAAAGTCTCAACCAGAGCTGGTCAGAAAGCAGGACGCACCCAAGAGAAAAAGATTTCAGAAGAAAAAAATTATTAGTGTTGTCAGGATTGTACTTTCAGCTGTGTGAAAGACATCAATGCATAGTAGGAGAGAGGTGTAACTTTAAAAAAAAGTTTAAGTAGAAGGTATAGTATTCAAAATACATAATAATCTGTCAAGTTACATAAAATTGTAGTCTTTTCTTTGAAATACTAAGGGAGGTTGCTAAGGGGTGGAGGGATGTCAAGTGAAATGGCTGCAATGGCATTATGCAACAGAGTTAATTTCGACCTACGCTCTGCTTCTCTGCAGAAGAAGTTGAAGAAGAATCAGAAACTACAATTGAGCTTGACTTGACTGATAAACAGAAACATCAGTTGAAGCACAGAGAGCTCTTCCTTTCTCGCCAGTATGAGTCTCTTCCGGCAACACACATCAGGTGAGAAAAAGTAAATACAATTTATCTGTGTATTCTGTTGAGGAGGATTGCCTGCTTCAGCCTTTATCTCGCAAAAGAATGTGATTGATCACAGCTGAGTTGTCCAGGTTGTCCCATGAACTGCTTTGGAACCACCTTTGGTTTTTCCTTCTGTTACTTCAAGTCTGAACCTTGGAAGGGACAAGAGTCTGAGAGCCCTGACTTGCCAAATGGGGTGACAGTTGATAATGTCTGTTCCTATTTTGGAAGAGTTGTTTTATTAATTCTTCTGCTGGCCAGAGGAAGTTTGACTGTTTGTTCTGCTCAGGGAAACCACAGATGGGTTTGGAAGGAGACAGTGACTCAGTGTTCAGATCTGCAATTTAGGGCTGCATGGATTTAAGAACAAAATTGCCCTAACTTACTTCAGTAAAAGTGAGGAGGTTGTTATTGAGTTTTGCCAAATATTGCAAAAGCATTTCAAATATTGTTTTTAATTGTCCTAAGGAAGAAAGCTCAAAAAGGGTGTGTTCACTTCTATCTGTAAATCATGTAAGTGCTCATGTCATCTCTTACTTAGCAGTCAGGCAATTAATTTTTTTTGGGTGGGGAAGGAGGATGATATACCTGGAAGTGGAAAAGAAAGAGCACAGTGACAAGTGGGAAGTGTAAGGGTAAAGCAAGGACTCTTAGATTGCATTCATTTTTTCACTGCATTGAGCCCCTCTTAGCTATTTCAGACCATAAATGAGAAGCTACCAAAAAAAAGTTTATATGCTCTGATAGGATAAACACTTTGTATATGTATATATGTGTGTTATCTCTCACTGACAAATGTGTGGCTTATCTTTCTCACTGCTAATGTAAAAAGTGGAAGTTGGAAATTTTTATTTTAATCTCCTGTGCTTGATTTAGGTACTTGTTCTCTGACTTTGAGAAAGTCATTTAACTGTCAAATCTCTGCTTCTCCAACTACAGCATCGAGATAATAATCCTGCAGAGTTTCTTTTACTTACTTTGACATTTAGATATTGAAATAAAGTATTCTCTTCATGGAGAGATTACATAGAAAGTAGTATTGCAAATGTCATCTCATCTCACAACTCAGGGAGCAAATACAGTAGAGGTCCTCCACTACACACTTCACAAAGTAGCCAGAAAAACAAGTGAATTCATAGTATATGCAGCACTGCACAGCAGGCAGAGTTCATGACTTGCATCTACTTTTAAAATAGATGAGTGCTGTAGGGCTGTGCTGTCACGTGTTACTAAGACCTTTACCAGATGAATTCTGGAGCAAGTTTTATGTAGTCTAATGACGTTTGAGAAATCTTAACTCTATTTTTAAAAGAAACAAGAAGGAAGGGACTGCAAAATACTCATTTAGCTTCTTAACATGCTAATGTTCAGATTCTGTGATGCTCTGTTGCTTTCATAACTTATATTAATTAGCTCTCCTGTAAAAGGTGATACAAATATTGTGAAGGTGGTAGTCCTCCAACTTTCTCCCATCAGTACTTCAGAATATCCAAGGATGAAATTTCCACAGCCTCTCTGTGTGTCTGTTTCAGTGTTTGACTACTGTTGTGGTGGGTTTTTTTTTCCCGTCAGCTTATTGGGATTTCCCTTGTTGAAACTTGCTGTCTACTGCCTCTTCTCCTATCATTGTGCTTCTGTGAAAGGATCCCAGCTCTGTCTTACTTATACATATTTTAATTAAGTAACTGAAGGCAGGAGTAGGATTTCTCCCTTTAGTTATCATACCTTAAAAGTGAACAAATCCAGTTTATTGTGATGGCATGTGGTACAGCACCAGCTGATGTACTAGTTTCACAGAATCTCAGACTGGACTGAGTTGGAAGGGATCTTGAAGATCATCTAGCCCAACCCAGTTTGGGTCTTGAAGGCAAGGCTTATTACTTTACTTCTTTGTGAAGTTACCAGTGGAACAACTCCTTCCCCTGTCTTCTCAAATGTGTAAGGTTAGTAGCAGCCCTCCAGTGAATTATTTCCTTTCTTCCTGTTCTGGTTTGGCTTGGTGGGTTTTTTGATAGCGGGGGAAGGGCCACAGGAGTGGCTCTGCTTTGAAGCTGAGCAGCTCCCCCAACCAAAGATCCATTAGAAGAACAATAGATATGCCTCAGCGATTAACATAAGAAAGAACAGCTGTAACACCTGAGCTGAGAGGCACTTGGGGGGAGAAGAGCTGTGTGGGAAGAGGAGAAGGCGCTGGTGGCTGGTGAGGAAGAAGGTGCCCAAGCAGAAGTTTCCCTGCAACCGATGGCAAGATGGCAGCTGTGCCTTTGCACTCATGGAGGAACGTGGTGGAGCATTCCTTGGGGGCACCAGGAGGCGTGAACTTGGCCAGTGGACTTGGATTTTGTGGCCAGAGGATTTGCTGCCAGTGGACTCTGATCACACAGCTTTGGAAGACCCCAGCGCCAGGGGAGTTTGTTCCCGAAGCAGCCCCTGACTCTGTGGGAAGCCCAGGCTTGGAGCAGCTCCAGACCAGGTGGGAAGGACTAATGAAGGAGAAGTTCGTGGAGGACTCTCTCCCATGGGAAGGATCCTGTGGTGAAGCAGGGAAGGACTGTAAGGAATCCCTCCTGAGGAGGAAGGAGTGGCAAGAACCACCAGCCTGTGAACTGACTCTAAAGCCCATCTCCTGTCCCCTGGTGCCCCTGGGAGGAAGGAGGGAGAGAAACCAGGAGCAAAGGAATTTGGGCTGGGGAAGAAGAGAGGGGTGGGGTAACATATGCAAGCCCTGCTCTGTGTGTTGTTTGTGTCCTGTGTGTGTTTGATTAGTGTGAAATTAAATTACTATTTTTTCTCCAAGTTGAGTCTGTTTTACCCTGGACCTTAATCAGTGAGGAACCCTCCTTGTCCTTTGTCTCAACCCAGGAGCTTGGTCCTTCTCATCCCAGAGTGTGCTTGGGGGTTAGTTGAGTGAGTGACCATGGGGCTGCTCCTTTGTTGGGCCCCAAACCACGACACTTCCTAATTCCTGCACATTACAGATGCAGCATTGTCAAGCACTGTAATCCCCAGGTGTCCTTGTAGCAGAGTTGCACTGCCAGGCAGATTTGCACTGAACACTCTCCTTCATGAATGTTGCACACTGAATACACCCAGAGTTCCATGCAGATGGCTCCTGCCAGCAGTGCCAGTCCCAGAAAGGGGCTGAGTTGAGATCAAGTGTTCAGTGCTTTGACTTGGGTTCTCAGAGATGTGAGCATGACCAAATACAACATGTTGGAAAAGCATTGGAAGGCATGGGGTGGAAAAAAGTATTGAAAGTTGTCATAAAGGGTGAAGTTGTTTTCCAGTGCTGTAAAATGCATCATAAAACTTAGCACCTGGTGAAGCAGGTCCCCTGTATGAAAATCTGCCAATGGTTATCTTGTTGGAGACATGCACTGGGTTCTCTGACTTAGGTTTTAAATTTATTTTTCTTTTTTAAGTCCTCAGTAGTTAGTAGGTGATTAAACACATTTAGCTTGCTGTAAAAGATTGCTTTAACTTCTGAGATATTTTGCAATTGCTTTTAAATTTAATACTTCATATGAATTGTGTAGAAGAATTTATTTCTCCATCAGGATTCATCTTGCCATTTCATTATCTTTGCTTCGTTCTTGTTCACTAATAAGTATTTAATTCTTTGGGCTGTGGTTCTAGTGGTATAATAATAATTATTGTTATTCTTTTTTGAGTGTTTAGAAAGCATACATGAGCCAAGCGCTCAGATGTTGTAATAAAGTCATGTGTGAATCTTTAGGGCACCTCTATACTGCAATAACTTGTCTTCCTTAAGGAAAAAAAAAAGAAGAGAAACATGAACTATTTTTTGCAAAATAAAAAGAGGCTTTAATATTATATAACTAAAGTCTAAAGAGCTTGAGAATGGAGCAGTTTCAAAGTGGCAGCCATTTGTGAAGGGGAAAGAGGATTAAAATATATAGGTACTTGGTTGCTATCGAATTGGTGATTTAGTTGTTAAAGTTGTGTGGGGTTTTGTTGGGGTCAAAGAATAAATTCCTGCTTCCTCAAAATTCTTTCTTAGTTATGGCAGGGTGACAGATACTTATCTTGAGTAAATAAAAACGAAATTGGCTACATTACTTCTGTTCATCAGTCTTTCTGGTAACTTATAGTTTGAATACAGGTTTTTAAGAGTCCTCTGGGACTAAAGTAGAGCAGTATGGGATTGCTGTGACCTCTTTAGTTGCTCTTTTACCTCATTCAGGCCACACAATTTTGTGCAGTGACTGTTGATGTGATCCCAACTGTTTGTGCTTGAATTAACTTACATTTTTCAGTGAGACATCTGTGCTTGTTTGAAAAAATTTCCAACTGCCGGATAATATACTATATTCTTTGCAGTTTTATCAGTTGCTAGTTGTGTTTGTACCAATCTTAAGTGCAGGGATTCTAGTCGCATAGCATTTATTTATTTATTTATTTATTCTCCTGGAGACTGTTTTCACCTGAGTAGTTTTTGCTTTTCTTGTACACAACCTCACAATGCAGAAATTCTTGCTGAGCTTGATTTCTGGACTCAATATGGCTGTGTATGGTATCTGTGCGTTATATGTATGCTTGTCATTATGGAGATTATTCAAATAACTCTTAAGGAATCTACACCCTGTACTTTAATGGGGAGTATTTGTTTATCAATCATCTAAATGTTTCTTATTTCTTGGATATTACATTTAATGCTTGACATAAGCAGCGAATTCAAGCTTTCTATGTATTTCTGGCCTTAATTCAGGAAAGCTTTCTGAACTCTGATTCTGAAATCTTCAGTTCTTGCTAACTTATGAATCCTTATAGTACATAGCCTTTATTTAACAAAAAACAAGCAAACCCTAAACGATCTTAAAATCCTCTTGGCTTGGTTTATTGCTTTCATTCCCACACAGAAAGGACTTTATGAGCCTGTTAAAGATTGTGATTGTGTACGATCATTTTATTAAGAGCTGAATAATATGACTAGGGAGAAGGTATTTTTGCAGAATGCCTGT